CATGGAATTCGAAAACTCTGCCGTCTTGTACGTAAAGGGTGTTGATTTAATTTGTCCCGATTTTTTCCAAAATATTTGATACATTGTAACTCAAGAACTGTAGTAGTTTACATTCTAAATACTGGTGAATGTTATGATACTCATGATTACAGCTCGTCTTCATTCTACGCATAGTAAAATTTCAGAAAAATATTATAGAGTTTTAAATCAATTTTTAAATATGGCTTGAGCCCAAAAAGTCATCATCAGGACGAGCCAAATTAACATCCTTTACATGGCAAAGTGCTTCAGGCCACAGCACACTCGTCCATATGTCATCGTGGATGGTCCCGGCACGTGGGATATTTATGGCTGGATTTTTTATGAAGCATTCTTGTACATATTCTTTTCTAAATTGATCACATGAAATGTACGAATGTGTATATTTCTTCTTTGGTCAGTCCATTAATTTGGTCGTGCGAGCTGAACAAACACATTTGTGGCAGTGTAACTGACTCATTAGGTTTAATTGACACCACCCTTAACAAAAAATCTGTTGCGTGGGCAAATTAATTGATGCCGATGTTTTTATAGCTACCTTGATGCACACTCTAAACAAAATTGAGTAAAAAAGAGGATGACACAACAGCCGAGGTAAAATTTGTCCAAAATTGAGTAAAATTTGCCCAACGTTGTGCGAACAAGGTGCATCATCATCATAATTTTACTCAATGTTGGACAAATTTTACCTCGACTGTTGTGTCATCCTCTTTTTTACTCAAGGTTGGGCAAATTTAGTACAACTTTTTTTAGAGTGCATAGATCGTACTCCGTACTCCGGCCAGCCCCGCGTACTCCGGCCTCCGGAGTAATACTCCTGAACTTTAACTTCCATCATCCCGCGCTCGTATCCTTCCCATGCTATTAGTATGGTAGGGATACGAACGCTGGAATCAAATTTTGATGGAAGTTAAAGTTCAGGTATATTACGTACTCCAACTCCGGAATGCTCCTATCTGTGCAATAGGAAATTTTACGTACTCCGTAGTCCGCGTACTCCGGTTTCCGCGTACTCCGTACCAGGGCCGTAGGAGCACTGGTTTTAAGTGGAGAGCACTCTCCAGGCCGGACGGCCCGAAGGGCCGTACCGGCCGGGTGATGCAGACACTAGATATTATTGACCCTCCGAAGTACATGTTAACTTATACAAAGAACCTAATGTCCCAAACCAACGCTTACATAGTTATAAATTGAATCTTGATTTTGTTCACTTCTGAAAAGTTTCAATGATCTCACAAAATGATTCAATACTTCACCAAATATTTTTTTGTCTAAACGACCTTTAAAGTCTTCATAACAATGGCGAGGAGCATTTCCTCTTTAATTTTCTCAAAATCTATGAATGCGTTCTAGCATTTCCGAGCGAAAAAACTGATTTGCATGCGTTACCTTTTTTCTAGGAGCTTTAATTCACGAAAGTGGGGGGTTACAAATGCTAATACGCATCTGTCAAACAGTGGACAAGTAGAAATTGAATTCTGAAAACGATAACCAAAATTGTCTTAATGTACATAACTTATTCAATAATTTCTGTTTCGTGAAATTTGGCAATCAAGTCTCATCTCTGCGACATCCAAAATCGGGAGATTTTGAAAACCGGTTTGAAATGGAGTTGTTGCAAATTTAAGTAACCAGATTATCTATTCTATGAAAAACGGTTCCAAACCGTTTTTAAAAGCCTTGTATTAGTTAGAATTAAAAAAACTTTCTCAGTACAGTAATAAGCTATAATTTAATTTAAAATCACATTTAAATATGAACTTGAGATTTTCGGGTATTTTATATTTATGTATCTCAGCAATTAGGAATATTTGTGGCTAGATAAAGGTAATGTTTTTACAAAAATATAGACTTAACCAATCATGAAAATTTCGAATCGATTTAGGAATTTTCACGCACGTTGGAACGCTTAAAATAATGACTGGAAGATATACGAAATAAGAAAAGTCCTTGGAAGTTTTTTTATGGGATAAAGGGCGATGCATTTTTACAGCTAAAAACAAGGGCCGTCATATGGAACAAGTTTCGCCTTAGGAAAATACGCTTGTGGGGTAAAAAAATTATTCAACCCTTCTACGAATAAATGGGACACCCTCTGTATTTGTGACGATAGCCGTGGATAAGAAATAAGCGACCGAAATCCGCTGAATCAATTTTAATAATTTTGCACATAAAAGGCCGGACCAGAATTTTACTCTCCAGGCCGGACCAAGGACAGATACGGCACTGCTCCGTACTCCGGCCAGCCATGCGTTGGGAGACCACCATTGTCAGTACCCATTACATAAATTCGCAAAAGGAATGTTCTGCAAATTGGTAGAGATATATACATATTTGCATGCAAGCAAGCAGGAAAAAAAACGGTAACCAAATATTGCAAATTTAAACTTTCCAAATTTACTGCACATTTTCCCCACTTTGGAACATACCTCGCAAGGAAGTGGTCCATAATGGACCATACTGTAACAGTGGATCATGCAGTTGATGCAAATTTCTATGTACATATATGTATGACACTGGAGTTCCTCCTAGGCATTCTCCAGTGCAACACGTATCTCTCTCTCGCTCTGCATCTGGATCTCCTTCCATCTGGGTCGCGGGTGTGCCAGGGCCAGTTAAGTGTGTCCTAAGGCCCCTACGCCACGTGAGCCTCGTCCACTCACACCCCCTACCTGCGTGCCTAGTGACACCCCCTGCCACACCCGTCCCAGCAACGACAAGCTGATCCATCAGGCGAAGATGGATCTCGTCGGACCCTGTGCACTGGAGGATCTACGCCTTGGAGGACTCCCCCAGGTGAGACCTTTGAGTGTTATATTGGGGTGGTGAGCATGTGGGGGTGGTCGACTGAAGAGTGGGTGTGCGCGGTGCTGGTGGGGGCGGCTGGGGTAGGTCTACGGGGTTCCCATGACCTGGTCATGTGCTGCGGTGGGAGGGGTTAGTTTGTGGAGAGTTTCATGGCCCCTTTATGGGGTCACTTAGGCCGAACCCTGATGGGTCATTGGTTAGTTTGTGGTCGATGGACGCTCCGCTCCAGCCCAGAACCCGTCGTGTCCCCGCCAGCGCGTCGCCTACTCATCTGGATGTCACCATTTTTCCCCATATGTAAATCGCCTATAATCTCTGTCACTCTTTGGTTGAGCCTGGGTTTTTCAGGTAGTCAGGGCCGAATGGTGATCTGGGCATCCTTCCCAGATCAGGTAGAGGTTTTCCAGACCGACCACCACAGTCTGGTTTTCCCTCTACTCCCCTGACTACTATCTCAATTATTATAATCTAAAAATTTGACTAACTATGTAATTATGACTTGCAAGAGCTACTGGCTATTTATGCAATAAAGATGCATACATACATACATATATGTATGACACTGCGCGTTAGTAGATCCATAAATAGTTCTTTTTGCAACTTAAATATATAAATATGTACAGGGTTCGGAAAACCTCGATGCTTTTTTGGAAAACCCCTTGAGGGTTTAGGCGATTTTTTTGGGTTATTGGGTATTTGTTTTTGATTTTGACGCTGGTGGAAACAAAATTCCAAAAATTGCATATGAGGGAAAAACTAATTCAATATTCCAATTCAGCACGAAATTTTAAGTATTTTCATTTGACTTCGATTCCAAACACGAGCGTAACGTATGAGTCGGCTTGTTTTTGCTAATTATTATTACGCAAAATTATAATTTGCAGTGGGGACGTCGTACCCAGCTGAATCGTTTGAAATGGACAACCCCACAGGCACGTGCGCCTGCGTGGCACAAGAGCAATTGTGCACACAAATTCTTTCCATTCGGACTTGCACGCAAGAAATCAGCAAATGTTCGGCCAAGGTTGCCCAATAACTGCGAATGTGCCAGAAATCTTACTGGCAAATAAATTTAACAAAACGGTTGTCAAGCTACAAACAGAAGTTGTAAGGTATACACGTTTTACAGATCATAACGTGTAACATGCAATAAAAATAATGTACCGAGGAAATGGCAGTAGCCTTTATCTGTTGGCAACGGAAGTGAAAGTAAATGTTCCGCAACGGAAGTGAAAGTGGAGAAAGTTAAGTTTCAAATGGCGCAAAAATTTAAAATAAATTTAATTTAAAAAAATAAATGTCTGATGATGGTTATCTGGAAGTGGTTGTGTGGTACTTATCTGGGAGTGGTTATCTGATGGTGCTTATCTTGGAGTGGTGGTCATGGGGGTTATCTGAGGGTGATTATCTTGGGGCGGGGATTATCTCGGAGTGGTTGTCTGATGGTGGTTATCTTGGGGAGTAGAGGGGGTTATTTGGGAGGGTTGCTTAGTTGGGAGTGGTTGTCAGAAAGGGTTATCTGGTAATGGTTATCATGAGGGTTATCTGGAGGTGGTTATCTTTTTTTTGGGGGGGGGGTTATCTGGTGGTGGTTAAATTGGGGGAGTTATCCGGGGAGATTATCTTGGAGTGGTTATCTAATAGTGGTTATTCTGGCCAATTTAGTGTAAAGTAAAGTTAAAGTGAAGTGGAAGTCGGTTACAGGTTGGCCACTTGAGCCATGGCATTTCGCAGTGATGAAGATGACCACTACTAGACAACCACTGTCAGATAACCGTCATTAGGCAAGCACGCTGAAATTTAGCCAAGACACCCAGCTCAAGATAACTACCATGTGACATTTAATTTATTTGGATTTTAGCTCCATTCGAAACTTCACTGTCTTTACTTTCAATTCCGTTGCGGAACATTTACTTTTACTTCGTTGCCGACAGACATTTGCGGCTTACAATTCTCTCTCGCCCGGCGGGAGACGGGCTTATACGCTAGTAATCATAATAAGCTCATCATTTTAGCTTACAAAATTTCGTGAACTACTCTGACCGGGGTTTTTATGTATGTATGGTTACCAACCTCTGCGATAACTTGTCTCAACTCTCATGCATTTCTGTCAACTGTGCGAGTTTTGTGTAGTGTGAAAAGTTTGTACATAGTTTAATATTTCTTAAAACCGAAGTGAGTTTATTTATCGCTTAACTTATGACGAAGGTTAAAAGGTTCATAGGAAATTAACATGCATACTTTTTTTCCGCAATTAATATTCTCCGTTGCAAATTTAAACAAACAAATAGCTAAACCTACCGAAATCAGAGTTGTGGTCATTAAAGTAAAATAAACATAGAAATTTTAATTATTTTTAAAACTTAGATACAAATTTATGTACATTTTTTATCGCTGGAAATATTCCTTGCTTCTCTTCTAAGGAGTACAACAGTAGCATCGCTTCCCCTCCGGGCCGGCGTAGCTAAATCTTCGGTTGTACATTTGCCCCGTACAGCGGGCGTCCCTCTCCCTCCAATCGTTCCAGAAACAGAGGTTCCTGTTATCCTTGTAGCATCGGGCTACTCAAAACAGGAAAATATGAAATTATTACACACGAAATGAAATTTAAAAACAAGTTACGCCAAAAATATTTACCACAACAGTAGCATCTTCCCCCACACCAGGCGGAAAAACTGAACCGGGTATTGTATAATTGCCCCGAACAGTACGAGTCTCTCCGCTGCCAATCATTGTGGAAACATTTTCGTGTCTCATCGTTCGAACAGGTGCCTAAAATAGTCGAATGGAAATTGTAAAAAGTGAAACTTTTATTAAGTGGGTTCCCATTATATGCTCTCAGATTTTTAGGAAATTATTGTCGATCATTCGAAAATTTTATTAGTATGAAATTTTCGAAAGATCATCTCCCAATGCGTACGTTTGGAGGAGATATTTTGAACCTAAGTGGTGAAACGTGTATAAAAATTTGGAAAGTGGACAATTTATTAAGTTTGAGATACGTTTTTTCTTCCTTAGATGCAAATATCTGTAGACGGCTTCCATGAGCTATCGCCGGTAAAAAAGGTCTTGGCGGGGGGATTAAGAATATATATACTTTATGGGGTCTGTGACCACCCCCTGACGCTTTAGAGACCGATGAGTAACAATGAGTTCTCATCAATCTACTGATATGTTAGCTATCAATCTGCTCCTGTGTAAATGTCTGCATGCGTGGAAAGCCAAAACTCAATGATACTCATCGGTCTCTATAAAATCAGGGGGTGGTCCCAGACCCCATAAAGTATAGATATTCTGAATCCTCCTGCCAAGACCTTTCAATCGATACCGAACTTATGGGGTTATGTGAGACTTGACCTGTTGACCTTTTGAAAAATTTGTTGACCTTGGAAAAAAATTAAAAATTCCTAACGAGCCTGATAACCCAAGTTACTTGGATCAGTTTTTACCCAATATGAGGAAAATCCATCCAGAATTGTTGAAATGCGAGCTATTTAAATAATGGTGATGGAGGAGCCAACTTTGTAACTTGACCTCGTGTGAGTTTCAGGTCATGGAGTACGGGTAGGGCCTAGCGCTTCCGTTTGACCCTAAAGTATAGTTTGGGGATTGTCCATGCGAAGTTTGGCCGCTGTGGGCCTTGTGGTTGCTTCACAATGCAGGGAGAAAGTTGACAAAAATTGTCAAAAACAGTACTACTTTCGCCTATGTCATTACATGGAGAGGGTCATGAAAATTTTAAAAACCGACTAAATCGAATAGTTCAGACCCCTGAACATGTTTTTGAGCTAAAGCACCGGAAAATAAAATAAGATGTTTTTTACCGGCGATAGCTCATGGTAGTCGTCTGTAACAATATGTATTTGTATTTTGGATAATTTCCTGCTTGTGCGGGTTTTGGCCATTGTAATTTTATAATTTATGACTTTATAATGTTACTCAATAAACTAAACTAACAAACCTGCCAATGGGGAGATTTTTATGTTCCTAATTGTATTTGTTATTGCATTCAAATTAAAATTTTTATGAATTGACACCAATTTTAGTGAAAATCAAAGAGCATAAGATAGTAAATTTCCATTATTTGTTACGAAAAATAACTCACGGCTGGCCAGGAAATCTACGAGGACTTTTGCCAATTCGGCCGCAGCTCGACCATACCTCCCATCCGATGCGAGGTACGGATCGTTTGGAAGACTTGTGCTGGAGACGAGGCCAGAAAATGGTACAATGACGGCAAGGAGAACGTAAATTTTCATGGTTTCTGAAAATTTGTGTTAGTTTAAAGACGATGTGAAATAATAATTATTTTCAACAAAATCACGGCAAGATCATTAAGCTGCAAGGTTTTTGTATTGACATATCTCCGGGAGCAACCACCTCCTTAAATAGGGAACTGTACAGAGTCATCAAACAAACAATTTGTTTACGGATATATTTACCTTATCATCAAAACTGATAAGTTTGATTGATCGTAGAGAATAAATGCGCACGATACATTACTAAATGACTAATTGTAGGTGATTGTGTTTGTTTTGGAGACTTATCAATGATACATTAATAATACAAATTTACAATTACAGAAATAAACCAAATTGGTTTACCGGTGTTTCATCCGTGTTTAAAATGGCAATTATGTATGTAAATCCTATTCGTACAAATATTGGGTAACATTATGCATATTCGTCGTAACTCAAACTTCGTAGAAGTCAAAACAAAAATTGGTAAATATTGCAAGTTTCACGTAATAAATATACAGCAGGCGTTAAAGTAAAGGTCATACCACCCGTTATTGCGTCGCCAGGTTATTTCGACTTACACTGTAACCTCGCATGGCATTAAATATAATACGTAATTTACTGCAAACAAGATAAGGTAGACAAACAAGACAAGGTAGAATAAAGTTCGTGAACCTTGCTAAGGTTTTGGGATGGTTGTATTGTTAAGTAACATTGAGAGTAAAAACTTGTACTTTTCCTGTATACGCCAACGAACAAATTACACCAGGGGGGGATAAGTCAGTAAAAAAACTCCATGCACCAAGCACAGGTGACGTCGTCATTTAAAAAATTCGCTACTGTCATTTATAAGAAAAACTCTTATTGTTACGGCCGGGGGTTATCAACGTCAGAGATTATCTTCTCGTGATAACTGGTTCTCTGGTGATCTGACCTCGTGCCGTAGAAACTTATGCTTGGACTTGACTTGGACTTAAAACTTGACTTATTGGACTTAAAACTTGACTTATTGGACTTAAACTGGACTTATTTGCCTTAAATTGGACTTATTGGACTTAACAGACTTGAACTTAAACTAGACTTGGGCTTAAAAGTTGACTTGGACTTAAACTGGACTTGGACTTATTGTACGTATACTTGACTTGACTTATGCCCTAAATTGTGCCAAACATGCTTAAATCTGGGCAAAAACTCTTTACTTTTACTTGGATGATATACTCGAATACAAATGACTAAAAACTTTTAATTAAATTGCTTCATTTAATTAATTTTAGTAATATTCGAATATTTTACAAAGAAGAGCAAAATGGCTACGTGCTACTTGCTTGACTTCTACTTACACACTTAACTTACTCATTCACACTTCTCTTCTTCACACGAACAAAGACTCACGCTACTCTACTCTCCCTGCAATACATCACCATGGCAACCACCACCACCTTATGGGGGAATTGTACCATCACATTCATAACTTTTCATAACTTTTCATAACTTTTCATGCATATTATAAGACTCTGACTAACAATTAAACGTTCTAGTAATTTTTACAGCAAACTAGAATAGTTATAGTTTATCTGGGAATTTCTTTTGCCCCGATTGCATGATCCCAATCCGAGACATTAATTATTAGTTAATTAATTTATTATTATTATGCCTCGCCGCAACACTTATTGTCAGATAAAAATGCTCATTTTTTAAAATTAAGACGTCGTGTGTTTGAAACACTAGTTTTTGGCTTATGTATCTCCACCTGGTGATAAAACGTCTCCTAAATCGTTACCCAAAAATAGAGCACCATACATAGTACCTCCGCGGGTGACGATTCGTCTAAAAATTATTTACAGTCCACACAAGTATATGTATGTACATATACAGGGTGTTAATAAAGTCCGATCCCATTTTTCCTGTAAAAAAGTGAAGGCTAGTATAAAAAAAAACTACCCGTGATACTTACAAAAAATGTTCGACATATTTACCTTAGTATTTGGTCTTGTTACCATTTACTTTAACCATGCCCTCAACTCTTTGTTTAAGGCTCTGTGCTAATTTTTCCAATGTGCCTCTGGAAATCGAATTCCATACATCTTGAACTTTTTTTTTACTAGCTCTTCCCTCGTCCGGGGTTGTGGCTCTTTGTATACATTTTCCTTAAGTATGGACCACTGGTTCTTCAGGGGATTCAAATCTGGGCCGTTAGCGGCCCACACCCCCTTGCTCCAGACGGTTGAAACTTGCGTCTTGATGAGACTCAAACTCGCTTTTGCTGTATGGGCTATAGCACCATCCTGCATGAAAACTATTTTTCTTTCATTCGGAAATATTTCCTTGTTCCCCATGCTATCGAAATAGATAGGTAATATTTTTTCCATATAATGCTTTGCATTGACTGATTGGCCTTTTGGTATGATATGTAGAGGGGTCACGCAACGTGCACAAAATCCACCCGCTACCATAACTTTAAGCCCGAATTTTGGGATCGCTCTTGATGGTACATCCGATTTGTTTTCTGTCCTGTAACGAACATTTTGTTGGTTCAATTTTGGATATAGTTCAATAATAGATTCGTCAGTCCAAAGGATGTGACTGCGCAATTCTTCACCAAGTCTTTTTTCACTCAAATGGGCACTTTTCTGAAGGAGTTCTTCAAATTTCAGACGGTCATCGATATATTTTTGTGACATGAGAGGTTTTTTTGGTTAGTTTGTAAGCTGTGTGACCCCACTTCGTAGTTTTCACAAATTTTTGCACGGTCACACAGTTAATTTGCTTCTTCTTCTCTTTATAGCGTTTTGAGTCATTTAACTCCCTTGCTCAATTACGTAATGAACTACCGGTTTTCTTGCAAAGTCTGTTTTTAATCATTCTTTTTGTGGTAGGTGACACCTTTCTGGGTCGCCCTGGTCGCTTTTTGTCGTGGACAAAATTTTTATTCTTCCATTTCCAAACAGTTCTGCGGCTGCAGCCCAATTTTTGCACAATTTCTGTAGGTTTAAGCCCCTGCTGATGCAATGTTTGTATCTCAACTCTAAGATGCTCATGACTTACACGTTTAGTTGTTCCTCCCATGGTAAAAATTTGAAATAAATAACTTCACTGGTTCAAAAGTTCCAGCTGAATTTGTAACAACCACGCTCCAAAAAATGCATGGGATCGGACTTTATTAACACCCTTTACATACAAACGCTTATTAATCCCGTCAATTGATTCAATTTGTCCAGTTCATAATTACATCTTAATTAATATGTAATACACACATACATACATGCAAATATTTTATCTCATCTCGCTGCCCATCACATTTTATGACACTTTAGTGGATATTTCACAGAATTCTGCGGGTTACGGCGTAGCCACAAAATTCACGGAATCTTTATACATACGTAATTGTAAATTAATATAATTTAAGTATGCACACCTTAGAAATCCAGTATTAAAATAATACCAGGCGTTATTCATGTATGACTGTACCAAGGTGGTATTGATAAGTAATACCATATAGTAATTAGGGATGCACCGAGTGGTGAAAAATAAGACTCGGCCGAGTACCGAGTACTCGGCAATTCTTGAAGCGAGTACTCGGCCGAGCACCGAGTAACGAGTAATTCATAAAAATCGGGCAAAATCTAATGGATATCTCCCAGCGTATTCTACCTAATTTTGAAGTATTACATAGTGTCAATCGATCCCCAATATAATTAATAAATGGAATTTATGAGTGCACTACAATTATGTGGAGATATTTGCATTAAAAAAATGTGAAAACGCGTCCAAAAGTTCATTAGAAGATATTGTCTTATGAAATTGTGATATTAACTAAACAAATCCGCGAATCACAGATTTGTGTAGTTAATATCACAGACTGTGATCGATTGAAATTAATTTGGTCAGAATAGGTGAGCATACGTTTGGTAATATCCATTGCTGGAACAGTCCAAAACACCTCTTTAATTTCATCGTCGCTCATAAATTTCAACTTAAAATACGCAAGAATGTTAGGAACTATATTTTGCAAAACCCAAAACGCAAGAAAACTTCATTGAATCAGCTTCATGGACAAGATAATTTCTTAAAAATGACAAAAAATGGAGAAAATACTCGGCCGAGTGGGGTGACAGTACTCGACCGAGTCCGAGTAGTAAAAATACACGTCGAGTCGGCCGAGTACTCGGTGCATCCCTAAAAGTAATAACCCGGTATTAAAGTTTTACAATATCTGTATAAAATTTTTACGGACCGGTATAATTTTAATACCAATCAGTAACAACTTTAATACCGAGAAATCAATACCTGCGTGACTACATATACCGGATATATAACTATGTACATGACTATCACTATGTACATAAGTGTTCAATTATGTGCAAAGTTATGATAAGTTGCAAATGTATGTATGTATTTACATATGTATGTATGAGCATTATTTTAAGTGCATTAATCAAAACAAGAAATTATATTTATACCCAGGATTATACAAGTTTAATGAAATATGACATGAATCACACGATTGAAATGATAAACTAGGGTTTAAACTGTCTCGACTCATTCTTCCGTTTTGAATTTGCAAATCTAATCAAAATAGGAATGAAAACGCATTAACAACCGTGGAAATTTGACCTTAAAATAAGAATCTCCATATTCATTTACATATGTACCTCTGCGTACTTCTTCGATTTACAATCGTTGAAAGCCTGGTATCCAGCACATTTATTGTCCAAGCTGAAGGTCTTAGCTGTCGAATGAAAAACAAAATTGTATTTTTTTAATGCCACTAAAGCCACAGATTATGTTTCGAACGATAAGCAAACTTACCGTTGGCAGATGCACAGTCATCGACAGCCTTTTTCAGCGTGGCTTGAACTGCAGTGGGGAAAGCAGCTTTCAGTAATTTTTCAGCCTCATCTGCATTGTAAGTCCCGTCAGCATTCAGCTAAGAAATTAATTTAATCAATTTAAAAAATAGGTTTTAACCCGCCCCGTAATTTACAAAAAAAAACACAAAAAACTAAAACCCCACAAAAGACAGAAACCCCACAAATAACCCACAAAAAACTAAAACCACAAAAGAGAGAAACCCCACAAAATCCCACAAAAGCCTAAAACCCCACAAAAAAACTAAAACCCTACAAAAAACTAAAAACCCACACAAGAAAAAAACCCCACAATAACCTAGAAACCCACCAAGGTTGTGTTTCTCTAGAAAAACCACACGGTTTATCGAACCCTGGCCAACACAACCTGGAACTTTGAAGTATATATCGTACATAACTTACCATCTTTTACTTTTTGTAGACGCACACCCTCAAACACTGGAACATAAAAATAACCCAAAGGTTCACATATGTACATCATATTCAATATCATTGGGTTTATCAACAAAAAATTTATACCGCTTCGTTTTCATTCCATTTCTTGACCATTTCTTCCCGAGTGGTGGTTGGGTTGGGCGTACTGGTTCCAAAGGTTTCTTGGTAACATTCCTTCTCACCCACGAGCAATGGTTTCAAATTCACGGGTTCGCCCTTGCAGGTCACGTTCACCTGTTTGCCCTTTTTCCCTTGCACCTTTTCTTCCTGTCGAAACATGAAATCAAAGTTGGGTCGGTTGGACAATTTTTCGGATTGAACCGAATCGAATCGGAATTTTTAGTTGGTTATTTTTAGTTGAAATTTTTAGTTTGAAAAATATCTAACCGAATCCGAATTTTTCAGTTGACAAAATATCCAAACCGAACCGAACGATTCGAATCAGGTTCGGATGGATACTTTATCCAAAATTCCGTAAACCGACTCAACTCTGCATGAAATGAGCTTGGGTTATGTTCTACTTTTTGTTGGAGGTCTACTATTTTTAATTTACTTTGACTTTTTCATAATTTCTTCATTTCTTAGATTATTTTTACGAGTTTTTTCTTAAGAAGGATACGGTTTTGTAAGGCACGACCCGTTTGTGGTCAGCTTTTCCTATATACGTGTAATGTGTTTGATATGATAACGTGTATGCAATTATAATTACTGAAGCTGGGCTCGGATCTGCGATGTCTAAAAAGTCCTGTTTTGATGGGAATCGAGCGTGCACGCGCTCTCACCTATTCTAGCCAATTTTAAACTTTGACCTAGAGATGCGAAATTTGGCATGAACATGCACCAACATATGCTGCATCATAATATAATATCAATTCCCGTTCCGTTCGCTATAAATTTTTCATGAAAAATCAAAAACCAAATGTCACCCTTATTCCGTTTGGTTTTTGATTTTTCCTGAAAAATTTATAGTGAACGGAATGGGAATTAATGTTATATTATGATGCAGCATATGTTGGTGCATGTACATGCCAAATTTCGCATCTCTAGGTCAAAGTTTAAAATTGGCTAAAATATGTGAGAGCGCGTGCACGCTCGATTCCTATCAAAACAGGACTTTTTAGACATCGCAGATCCGAGCCCAGCTTCAGTATGTGAAAATAATGAACATATCATAGCATAGTTGAAAAAAGGAAGTTTTTTTTTTAAATTAACGACAAAATATTTATGTTTGTTCTTACCGCCGACGTTGCGGAAACCAGTACCAGAAGCACCAAGGAGGAGATGAATGATAACCGATACATGGTGACAGATTTTCAGTTTTTGAAAAAAAAATGTATTTGGTTTTCCTTGGTGAAGGGAATCTGTACAAAATTACTGGGAAAACGTTCACTTAAATAGTAAATTGCATAATGTCTAATTTGTTGAATAAGGTTAGTAATTCTTTTCAGCCATTGTGTAATAACTCAAAGGAAATATGTACCTAAATTTATATAAAAATTCGTGTTCATATCCGGTTTTAGATATATTTATCGTGAGCCAGATTAAAAAATCGGGGCGTCTCATATTTTGCACGCAGATCGTGTCAACAATTTGGAGTCCTGCTGAACAATATGCATCCAAAGGTAATGCTGAATTAATTATGTAAAGTGTAGATACACATGAAAATATGTGTGTATGCATGTCTATTATTCTATGCACCTTGTGCCCTGAGGTTAATTTTTATCTTATAAATTTGGAAAAACATGAATTTGAAATTTTACTGAGCGTGCTTCCATCGTAGCCGATTGCAGTTATATAAGTTTTTGGTCTTAATAGCGGAATATAATTTCACCTTGAACTTGATCTTTCGACACGCGATCTACTTACATATCTAACAATGCGATGGTGTGAAGTGTAACCCTCCGATTAGGATGAAATTTTTGAAATTATGTGGTCCATGTCAATACAACCAACGTTTCTTCAGGCAGTTTGTGCAATGGTTCGGATTAGGCAAAATATTTGAGGTCAAAGTTGAAAAACGGGCGATTTTTACCAGGCGGAAGAAGCAAACTCAACTTCCATTATCTTCCTGTGCTACAAATTGCACATTTTTCAACTTTTATCTAAAATACTTTGCCAAATTCTGACCATCGCACAAATTGCCTGAAGAAACGTTGGTTGTATTGACGTGAACCACATAATTTTAAAATTTCAACCAAATCCGAGGGTTACACTTGACACCATCGCATTGTAAGTCTAAACCGCAGTGATATGGATTATCTACGTACATACATTTATACAGTCAATCCAAGAAGTATAGGTAACAAGACGGGAGCTTGATAAAATTGGTTACAACTTTGGAATGTATTATAATTTGACACCATGAAACTTTGCACGCACTTGGAAAAATTTACTGTAGTATTCAATTATAATTCGGTTTTATTAATTTAAATTGCGTGAAGCGTTTTTTTTAAATAATTAGTTGAAAAATTTACAAAACGAAACCACCAAAAATATTGGCATCTTATAATTATAAAAATCATAACGTAATGATAACGCATGCCAAGGTTTGTGGAATCCGCAAAGATCCCGCACTCCAACTTGGGACCAAAGGTAAATACATAAGTTGGTATGTTTTCAAAATTCTTTTCATGCAGTCAGAAATTCAAAATGCTTGCCTTGTTATTCTAAAATAGTGCCATAGTTGGGCAAGGATTTCAATTATATCAGTGTGGTCAGAAGAGGTTGACAGATGTGCCAAGACAAAAACAAGTTGAGGAAAGTTGCCATGAATTAAATCAGAATGTACTTATTAGGATGAGAGCTCATGAATTTTTTTATTAATAAAAAAATCACATTCTATCAATAAATGGATAGGGTAAAATGCGTATGTATTTATGTCAAGCTAAATATATACATTTAACTATGTGCCTGCCTGCTGTATCCAGCCATCATATTTGTTTTGGGAACGTCCATATATTACGTCATCATTTTATTGAGTGAGTAGCTTAGGTCTTCCTATCTTCCCCATTTTAAAATTCCTAATCCCTCTATGTATCCGCTGCATGGGTGGGTGCTAAAATATACATTTTTTTTGATGACATAATATGTGGATGGCCCCTTAATAAATGGTCAAATCAATCTCATTAGCGCTCATAACTATCATAGTAGCCAGCGTAATAGTCGTGCGTGGTTGTGACAGGTGCTATGTAGGACAAATTAAGAAAACAAATATTTGTAACTGCGTATTTAGATTGTTTTACACTCTTAGAAAGGGAGCTACGATTGTAACCAAAAAGTAAACGTATATTACTCTACCGCCGTTGTTATAAATTTGTCATCGAGTGGTTACAATGGTCACCGACTAAATATATAGTTTCACCGGTATTAAATTGTCAACAGAGATAATAAAATTATAACCAGTTGGTGACAAATTCATAACTACGGCGGTAGAATCATATACGTTTAGTTTTTGGTTATAATTGTAACCCCATTTCTAATCCTAAGCAGGCCCCGTTCTAGGCAATGTGGCGCCCTAGACAAAAACCGTGATGGCGCCCCACGTGCTAGTATCGTCGACGTTCGCAAGAACTTTTACCGCACCAACTAAATATATGTATAATCATATGAGAAATTTGCATTTTTCACTAATTGCACTTCCACAAATTACCATTTTTTAATTGAATATTTATTGATTGAATAATGACACAGAAGTAGGGTATTCCGACCCCGGGTTTTACTGGGTTCGGGTTATACTGGGTTTTACTGGGTCGTAAATTAATAAAACCCAGCGGGTTTTACCATGTTAAAGGGTTTCATTGGGTTTTACTCGGGTTTTACTAACAATGGAACCTTTTTTCAAGCTACACCGGGATTGACTAACGAATTATATCAAAAAATCAAGCCAAAAATTAGGAATCACATGGCGCTTATCGTTCCGTTGAATGGCCCCTTTGAAGAAAATTATTAGGGGTCAAAGTTCGCACGAGCGCCTTGGTTTTCGCCCCGTGGAGGAAAAAGCAAGGGAAAATTTGCTCAAAAATTGAACTTAACCGCCAATATTTTTCTTCAAAGGGGCCATTCAACGGAAAGAGAAGTGTCACGTGACTCCTAATTTTTGGCTTGATTTTTTGACATAACTCGCTAGTCGATCCCGGTGTAGCTTGAAAAAAGGTTCCATTGTAAGTTTTATCTCAAATTCAAATAGGTAAATCAATAGAATCAATTTTCAGGTACATATATAACTCGAATTAAGTACTCTGTTGAATATTCCGTAAATTTCTATATATATTTAAAATTTTTCTTTATGACCAAAAACTCACAATTTAAAACGTAACTTTGAATTTGATCATATTAATGGTTTTTTGGGATGTTCCTGGTAGTTTGCATTAGTTATATTGTAAGTATTGATAAAATACATTAATTTAACAAATTAACGTAACGTTGTAATTTTTATTAATTCACCCCAAACATTGGATAAAACCCAGTAAAACCTAGTAAAACCCAGTACAACCTAGTAAAACCCAGTAAAATCCAGTAAAACCCCGGGGTAGTTGTTTTCAAGGTAAAACCCGGGGTTTTCCCGAACCCTGCACAGAAGTGTCATTATGATTTTGTACTTATTTAATTTAAAGCATAATTAAATCATTAATGGAATGGTGAAGGTTGTTATCCCTTAGTTTAACTGGACTAATTTTAAAGTGGGTATGATTTGAAATAAAGGTAAACATGTTTTTTAGCTTTCATGAATGCGCTTGTTTTCTAATGTGGCGGAATTTAAAAAAATTTCAGTCCAAATTTGGATTTTTAAAAAGTTTGTTACTTTCAGAATTTCACCCGATTAAAAACAATAAAGCAAAATTTTTGTTCCGAATTACTTCCCTAAAATTACAAAAATTAATTTTTCAAAACTTTTAAAATTTGAAGTTTTCATGCTACGAGTATTTTTGAATCTTTATAGATGCAAAAATGTTACAAAATGACTTCATAATTTTAGGGTTAGTAATTCTGAAGAAAGATTTTGCATAATTTTTGAAATCGAGTAATAATTCGAAAAATTAAATCGCTTCAAAAAATTCAAGCTTTGGCTGAAAATTTAATTAGTGTGAAGTTGGCCTCTCCTTTTTTTTTGTTTGGATGAAGTTAGCCGACTAAGCCGAATTTATCCGAAAACTTGGCCTCCCCGCCCATAAATCCCGCCAATTTGGGGCAACGTGAGATTCGCTCCCCACAGCTCCAGAACGGTTTAAATTCAAACTTGTTGCCTTCCCGCCCCATTTTAAGGGGTAATTTGAGATTCGGTCTCATTTGGCTATTATCGTTTGGCCAATTAAGTGTTATGAACACGTAATCAATACTGTCTCGGTTCTAGAACACGATATTCAACTAGTGAAGCCAGGATGAAACCACAGCTCAATATGCACATACGCACGTGCATATACAAGTGTAATTATTACCGTAACCAACTTTGCCTAGTATTTACATACACACTACTTTTGTCATACAAGAACTACACTCACACCAATAATAAAGCAACAAGCAAGCTGCCAGTTTATTAAAAAAATTAAACTAAATTTTTGATTTAATCAACGTAGCAACTCTATGGTTTAAGCATACAAAATCTAATGAAATACTCAATTTTTAACGAAAACACATGACTTGTATCATAAGAAAACCGTATTTCGGATTTTGATTGCTCGAAAACGGGAAAGGGTTTTGGGCTCGGAATACCCTTATTTTGTAGCCATGACCCTGTGCTACCCAACGTATACTGCAGTTACTCATGCACCACTCAGATAAGAACGAAAAAATTCGGGTAAAATCCGACTTTTCCATAAGTTGCAAAAACAAGAAACCCGAATTTACAAAGCTTGGAACCAAGTTTACAAAGCTTGGAAAGATTTTTGTTAAATTTAGAAAGTTTATAAAGCTGGATTAAATTTTTGTTAAATTTGGCAAACTATACCATATTTTGGCTAGTTTTGGCAAGTTTACAAAGCTGGGAAAGATTTTTCTAACTTTGCGAAGTTCATAAAGCTGGAATAAATTTTTGTTAAACTTGGCAAGCTATACCATGTTTTGGGTAGTTTTGGCATGCTTTCAAAGCTGGGAAAGATGTTTCTTAAATTTAGTAAGGTTACAAAGCTGGGACAGATTTTAGCTAAATTTACCGGGTTTACGAAGCTGGATTAATTTTTTGTTAAATTTGGCAAACTATACAATATTTTAGTTAATTTTGGCAGGTTTTCAAAGCTGAGAAAGATTTTCTTAAATTTACAAAGTTTACAAAGCTGGGAAAGATTTTTGGTTAATTTACCAGGTTGACGAAGCTTGGAATAAGTTCTGCTAAATTTACCAAGCTTACAATACTGTGAGTGTTTTTTGTTAAATTTACAAAGTTTACATAGCTGGGATTAATTTTTGCTAAATTTGCCAAGTTTACACAGCTGGGATTAATTTTTACTAACTTTACCAAGTTTACAAAGCTAAGATTAATTTTGTTAAATTTACCGGGTTTACAAATTACCCATATTGGTTAATTTTGCATAATTTCCAAACGTATGTATGTATGTACTCCAAAAGAAATTTCCAACATTTCTTTTATGAACAAATTGTTAAAGGTTACGAAGCTGTGACGTATTTTCTTATTTTCTGATGTTGAAATGGCGAAGAAGCAAGATGTTTAATTTTGCGAAGCATTTTTTGCTAAAATCATCAAATTTACATACATCCTTTTACTTCTTAAATGCAAATGTTCTGCCCGGAGGGCTGGTAACAAAATTGAACCGAAACGTATTAAAACAGTACCAAAATGATTCTAATTGCACGTCGACGAGAAGTCACGACTCCCTTAAAAATAATTCTACCATTTTGAAAAGTAATTGCAAACTGAGCCCTAAATTAAATACGAAATTCAGAATAACGTTAAATTGATTAAGATTAAAATTTACTCTGGACTTTGTACAATTTAGAATTCAGAATGCAATTAGTTTTCAAAGTGGAACATTATTTTTAAGAGTGTTATACGCGCATGAAAACTTTAATCACCCACCCAACTAATTCCCAAATAACCAAAATTTTTTTTTTTTTAATTTAAACAAAATCCCTAATTCCCCACCACCACGAAGCCTACTTCAGGTTAGCTTTGTAACCGAAGGCCTCCATCAGGCCTCCGGTCAGCCAACCCCACTCTCAAGGGACGACGACTGCTCTCACCCCCAATCATTGAGTGTATGGTGGCTGGGCGGGCCAGGTCAGGAGGGTTCCGTTGCTCAATTTCAGGCAGTCTCACCAAGCCCTTTCGGTCCTTGGGCTGGCGTCATAGACCGCCCGCTCTGAGATTGGCCCCCTCCCTCCCTGCACCAAAGTACACAATGTACACAACCCGGGCCTAAACCCCAGGGAATCCCCCACACCCCCCCGGGGAAACTACCACCCCTTTTGGTCCTAATCCCCCCCACAACAACCTTTCGAGGCCACACCGGGCCCTTACAACTACTGGGGGTCACACCGGACACCCCACCACCACTCGGGTCACACCGTACCCCCCACCACCACTGGAGGTCTCACCGGACACCCCACCACCTGCCCGGGTCACATCGTACCCCCCACCACCACTGGGAGTCACACCGGACCTCCCACTTTCTATTTTTCAAAAATCCCGTGCCACCCTGAGATTACAACCAAAAATTTGTCTCTCAGAAACAAAACTCACCAATAATTTGTGAGTGAGAGACGAAGTAAAGTACGTCCGTAACAGAGGAAGCGCAAGATGTGAGTGATAAAATATTCTACCTGCTTTTGTCAATGCGAGCGAGAACGAAAGTTACATGACAGGGTATGCAAGTTGACTCAGTTCGGGTTCAATCAACATGTCGGGAAGGCCACACGCAAATTACCCGATTAGAATATAAGAGACTGGTGACAGGCGTTGCATGCATTTTTACTGCATACACGTTGTTGATTTTTCTGATTTCCGAAATGGATTTTATTAAGGATAAATTACATGTTGCATATCACGTATGTATGTATGCAGCATTTATAATTTAGCAGATATGTATTTTAAATGGATCGTGCTAAGTAAAAAATGTTCAGAAACTATGCATAATTTCTGAATCAAGTTTCTAATTATGTACGATGAAAATGCTTCCGGCTTGCAAGAATTATTAGTAACTAAATTGGTGAATGGTCCATTACCATATGTACATACATACATATACATATGCACATTTGTCTTTGTTACCAGCGTATTTCTTACTCATATGTATGAATCAATATATCAAAAAATCCTGTAATGCATGAAAAATCCTCATAGATTTTTAGTATTTACATACGTATGTACATACATACACTCATAGAAATCTGGTATAGTGATTCACGAATTTATTTATCGGTTTTAAGGTTGCTGCTTGGTATTAAAATTACCCCAGTCTGCAAAAATGTGCAATCTATATTGTAAAACTTTAGTACCAACCTATTACCAGACGGAGTTCGATATTTTTCAATGTCACTTTGGGAGAGTCATGAATTAATTCCGCTTGGTATTATTTTAATACTGGATTCCTAAGAGTGTACATTATTGTAACAAATTCATACATATACGTACACAAATATGAGGCGAACACGTGCACTGATACAAACATATGTAGCATTACGTATGTACATACCTGTACGTATGTACATACGTGTACGTATGTACATATGTATACGCACATAATGACCTATTTTACCCTGCCTTAAGTTATGTCGTGATGTACTATAATCCTGAAAGTGAGATCATCCTAAAACCTTCGTGATTCCTACGGCGTTGATTCTGACAGCATGGTCAAAATTATATCAAATACATTTTGGGATTTACATAGATAAAGGGCTAGAAATTGATGTTTTAATAGCTAACTAAATCTTGGCAGTTGGAGCTATGAACATAAATAATTTTCATACAAATTACATCACATTTGAAATTTATGCAAGTTCACTCCGCTTGGAGATGTAGCTTTTAACACAAGAGGTCCTAGGGCGGGTTTACATTCATATTGTGACCAGAAGAGTGTCAATTACTGTCAATCCCTCACAACTTTCATAAACATAAAATTTGATAGGGCACTAGCTGTCAATGCTAAGGTGATGAATGCACCCAAAGACGATAAACCGCACATTACACCTAATTAAACCTTACAAAACCAAAAGTAAAACCTTATAAAACCCTATCTCCATGTATCAGAAAGTCTATATACACCAAAATTCGAAATTAGGGTATCACAGGTTCCCAGCTTACGGAAAATTCGAATATTACACCAATTTTTTCCCGCTTATCTGAGTGGTGCATGAGTAGCCACCATGTAGGTTTGCTAGCACAGGGGCATAGCTTCTAAATAAGGGTATTCCGAGCCTAAGAGCCTCACGCGTTTTCGAGCAATTAAAATCCGAAATTCGGTTTTCTCAGGTTTCCAAATTAAGGAAAAGTCGGATATTACCCGAATTTTCTCTCTCTTATCTGAGCGGTGAATGAGTAGCCACCATACACGTTCGGTAGCACTAGGCCGTAGGTACAAAATGCGGGTATTCCCAGTTCAAAAGCTTCGCCAGTTTTCGAGCAATTAAAATCCGAAATTCGGGTTTCGTATGGTAAAAAATGGAAAAGTCGGAGTTTACCCGAATTTTTTCGTTCTTATCTGAGTGGTGCATGAGTAACCGCAATATACGTTGAGTAGCACAGCGTCATGGCTACAAAATAAGGGTATTCCGAGCCCAAAACCCTTTCCCGTTTTCGAGCAATCAAAATCCGAAATACGGTTTTCTTATGATACAAGTCATGTGTTTTCGTTAAAAATTGAGTATTTCATTAGATTTTGTATGCTTAAACCATAGAGTTGCTACGTTGATTAAATCAAAAATTTAGTTTAATTTTTTTAATAAACTGGCAGCTTGCTTGTTGCTTTATTATTGGTGTGAGTGTAGTTCTTGTATGACAAAAGTAGTGTGTATGTAAATACTAGGCAAAGTTGGTTACGGTAATAATTACACTTGTATATGCACGTGCGTATGTGCATATTGAGCTGTGGTTTCATCCTGGCTTCACTAGTTGAATATCGTGTTCTAGAACCGAGACAGTATTGATTACGTGTTCATAACACTTAATTGGCCAAACGATAATAGCCAAATGAGACCGAATCTCAAATTACCCCTTAAAATGGGGCGGGAAGGCAACAAGTTTGAATTTAAACCGTTCTGGAGCTGTGGGGAGCGAATCTCACGTTGCCCCAAATTGGCGGGATTTATGGGCGGGGAGGCCAAGTTTTCGGATAAATTCGGCTTAGTCGGCTAACTTCATCCAAACAAAAAAAAAGGAGAGGCCAACTTCACACTAATTGAAAATTTATGTGAAAACAATAGCATTCAAGAAAAAGCCAAAATATGTATAGGTTCAGCTTACTTCTGAGCATATACAAGTTAAAGTTGACCCGCTAAAATCAGAGGTAACCACCTAACACTTCTGCATTTTATGAAGGAATTCCAAATTTATCTGACAGGATTTTCAAGTTAAAATTTGTTTGAGATTTCAGTGAAAGACAATTTTTTATATGCTTTTTCACTGACAAATTACTAAATTCCGCAAAGCTCTTTTTATTTAGTGTATAGGGGCGCCTGCCGGCGCCCCCCAAGTTTCTGGCGCCCTAGGCGGTTGCCTAGCTCGCCTATACCTAAAACGGGGCCTGATCCTAAGAGTGTTCATAAGTTCTAAAATCTTATAAGTAAATCACTTACCACTGGTAGTGGTCGTCGTCGTGGTGGTAACAATTTGAGTAATTCGACAGGACGGATGCGTTTTCGCAATGTGAACGACCCTCTTTTGTGCAGCCATTTCCACGGCGAGACGAGCAGTGAGTAAATTTAGCATATTTTTTGAGACGTCCTTCACCAAGTCGCAGGAGGTGTGGCTGACTTGTTTCAATTTTAGATCGAGTATCTCTTTGTTAGCGGAATTTAGTTTCGCCTGCAAGTTGGAGACGCTACTTTGCAGTTGTTGTACCGTCAAAGAGGAAGCTTGGCCGGCACACAGGACCAAAGCTGGGAATCAAAATAGCGATTAATTTTGGATTTATACCGAGCAATCACTGTGTATGCAAATATTTGACAAAAAAAATTAGAGCAAATTAGTACACGCATTTTGAAAAACCTGTTACCAATTTACTATGGACAATTTTTTACAATCTTACATATAGAAACGCTTACTTGTTTTAGCGAGGAAGCCGTGGGCCAGGATCAAATAAATAACGAGGTTACTTGATGAAAACATTTTATCTCAAACTGAAAAACAAACCTTAACTGAAACCTTAAAGAATTATATTTGGGCTTTAAGGGGAATCACAGTTGTTTGCCAAACCAAGTATAACAATGTTGTGAGCAGTGTGACGAGAATTAAACGAATTTATACATATCTCGGCGATAAATATGGTACCGTCACGGGGTTAAATGTCAAATAGTTATGGCTCGTGAGCTCTTAAACTCGTGGATGTGATCGGTGCAGACGAGTATATGTACCTATGTAAATATACCAATATTTTACGTAATAACGTGTTTATATTAATCCCGTCAATCGATTCAGTTCATAATAAGTAATCACATCTTCACTATACATACATATTTACATATTTCGTTTATCACAGCTCTCGTTTATCCACCACATTTTATGGCACTTTAATATTCCACAGAATTTTGCGGGTTAAGGCGTAGTCACAAAATTCAGGGAATGTTGTACATAGATCCATATGTGTGTATGCATGCATCGGCAATTTATGTATAAGCTACATACATACATAATCTAGCTTCGACTCGTTGTAGGATATATGTAAAGACGTATGTACATACCTATGTACATATATTTTAGTACCTATTTAATAATTTGGTCAATTTATATTCGATAATTTCACCTGGTCTGTGGAGTTGAACAGGCCTCTAGCGATGGTGGAGAATTGAATCCAGGCCGTCCTATAGCCTGAACTATGAATTTTAACTTTGGTTAGATTATGCACCAGTAGTCATATGTATGTATATACATAAGCCCTAAAAATTTGCAAATGATCATTGAATTGAGGACTGGCCCAGTGAAACAATTTACATAAGAACATGCATAAATTCCACAGCGAGAAATTTTCAGGATGAGAATATGTTTTCTGAAATCCGTGATTAATTTGACTCACTAAAGAACTAAAATAAAACCAAAATATATTTAGCAAATGTTGTGCACAAATAAGTGCACCAGGAAGCTGTTCATAAAAAATATTGAGGGAAACGTTCCTACGTTTTCCTGGTTTTCGCACCATGGATGAAAAATCGAGACAAAATTTTCCCCCAAAATTGTGGCAAAAAATTTTCTTCAAAGAGGTCTTTTATTTGAAGGGAAATGTGCGATTTTAAATTTTTTGGCTTGATTATTGTCATATAACTCGCCAATCCCAGTGTATAGTTAACAATTTTAGTTTTTTTGCCAAGCTGCCTACACACATTGATACATTCATATCTATTGTCTCACGACATTGATTTGTTTATAAACAAGTAAAACAAACAATAGCATATTGTCATTATTACATCTGGTGACTAGCAGGCACGTACTACGTTAGATGTCTTAACTGGCTCCTGCAAAACATAAAATGATAAATTATTTTGCCCTCATTGCACTTTTATTTTTCTACACGACACCTGCAAGATCCAGTTGGATAGAACTTGTCGGACGGAAACAGGCCCCTGATACGACAGAGTTTCACCTCCTGGCCACGTAAGTGAGACATTTTTCGGTCAACAGTACTTTACACTGTAAATCAACCGTGGCAAACTAAATTTAGCAAATTAGTTAAGCGAAACGGTCACACGGTCATGGCACGTCAAAACTGTGTCGATTTCTGAAATCCCCGTCTAAAAAGTTCGAAATCTTTGAACATAGGCGCCATCACCATGGCGCCAGGACCTTATGACCTACAACGCCCATCTTCGAACTTGTCCGTACTTCAAAAATTAGGAACACGGTGGCGAAAACCGCATGTCGAAATTCGAATCCGTTCCAAAGTTATATTTGATACAGACGGACAGACGGACGCACGGACGCACAGGACGTTTACATAAAGGGATTTCGCTCACCGCTTCATAACCAGCACTTGATGAGACAAACACTATCATTCACAATTCAATGCCAAATTATTACTACAAAGTATGTTTTCATTACCGGATCTACACAAGGGTAGTAATGACAATCACTTCAGCCCACGGCGGTAGGGATAAATACATCAATATCGGTCATTTTTGTACTCTGTCCGTAATATTTTTACAAACATGATCTCTTTAATACTTGTCTCTACATATATATGGACAAAAGTTATGTTAGAATTAGTCAAAGTCAGTCAATGTAAGGAATTGAGGGCGAATAACTATGCAGATACAGAGATAGTTAAATTTCATTATTTGCAGCGATCAGTATCCTTCTCTGCACAGACATCGCTCCAACAAGGTTACAAACAGTGGTAAAAACCCCAAAGTTCACCTACATTCAAACCCTGCGAAGTGGCATGAAAATGATGATGCTTTCCTATCTTTAGAGGGTAAGTAAATGACGCTAATACACACATTGTTTAAAATTACCTGGCTATAGTACGTCTGGTAGCACATATTCCATTATTCGTCTTCACGATTTAAGCATTTTGATTATTAATGTGTGTACATTGTTGCGCATACATATGTACATGCATTCTTCTAAATAAGGTTACCCTTTGGAAAAGTAATCGCACCTTTAATTCTTTAATAAATACAAGCTAAACTATGTTTATAAACTTGAATCTTGAAGGGAAAGTGCGATTGCTATTCAATTGAAAATGCCTTGTTATGCAATTTTAAAGTTGAAAAATTCCACAAAAATCTCTTAGTAAAACTAAAGTTATTAGTTTGTTCTCAATATTTCAGAGGACGAATTACCTTGTCGGTCGGAGGAATCCGCCAAGATTGTTCTGGTGTTTGACGGAAAATACCCGTTCTATTTAACACCGCATGACCCGAAATACGGTAATCCACCAAATCACTAAGTTGTCAACAAAGTTGAAATTACTTGTAAAGTTTCAAGATAAATTAAAACAAAGCTGGGTATGCATTCTCCCTGATTTTATGGAACATATATATATGTATACATCTAGTCACTAGCTCCGTGTTTAGTATTACATCGATTAATACTATGATTATAAATACGCTAATATTCGTATTTGCAGATTGGTCGGATTCAAAATTCTGCAAGGAATTAGCTCAGACAGGCGAACTGACTTCACTAATCGAGAGGATGTTCACCCTCTTCTCATTTAGTTCAATTGGAGTGACGTCTTACAGCGACTGGAAGACAACCAGTGATGACAACCTTTACTGTTACAATCTCCGAGATCCAAAACTACGACCGGATAGTTCGTTTTATCCATCAATTTACCCGAAAAATGCTTTCCCCCAGAACGGAACCCTGGGCTGGGATTCCGTACTGAATGCCATCTTATACACCGTAATGGAAGGAAACATTGATTGGAAATCCCCCAAAAAAGTTATTATATTCATATCAAATAACAACTGGAAGTGGGAGGGTGACTCGAATAACAAGAAAGGCCCGGAGTATCAGCTCCCAAGCATAACTATGGACATGATGGGGGATAAACGTGATACATTTTGCGGTTATAGGCCAGTCTCAAAAAAACTGTTCTTCGATTTGACGGAGAATTATAAAATCATCGGCTTGCTAACTCCGAACGGTTCTAATGTGGCTAATAATTTTTTTAACGATCCACCAAAAAATGAGGAAAATTACAAGATGCTGAGAATAAGTAAGACAGACGCTGAGGCTGCGAGGAGCATTCCAAGTATATTATTTCCAGCTTTGAGGCCGTACCTTTGCACCTGCAAAGTTGTATACGAGTATGCCCTCGTGGTCGACACAACCATGACTTTTGTGGGTGGGAACTACCCATACATAACTTTGATTGTTTTCCTAATTTGATCGATCCTAACTTGCTACGTATAATTTCATTTAAATACTAGACACTTTCCGGTCCCCTTCTCTACCAAATTACGTCAACGGCTCCTATCTTACCCGCTTACTTCGTGTTGTAGAACCCGTTGTTCGAAAGCTATCAAGGGAAAACCAAAATTCCAAGTTCCACCTAACAATATTCGGGGATTACCCAACCGAACAGAATGGCAACTTAAGTGATACGTTCTGCTACAAGTATGTCATGACAACGTCGCACGTTAACGTTTTCCTGAACGCAATAAAATCCATTGACAGTACGTACGGGGGAAGAGATAAAGACGAATCCAGCCTCACTGCCATTCTTTATACGGCGAAGGAGCCTAAAATAAAATGGACGATGGAGTCTACACCTCACACAAATAAGGTTGTTAGAATAATTGCGGTGGCGACTGATGCATATTTTAAATTACCCGACGAGATCCCGCCGTTATACGCTGGCCCAGAATATAGCTTTCCCGTGCCAGAAGGGTATGCCGATTGCAACTACGGCCCACCTAAATTGAGTACGATCATTAAATTGATGGAAGTTGATGAATTTTATTTAACCCCTATGATTTACGGGTACTCCCCACAAAATAATTGGGACCGAGCATTTATACAAATGTGGACCCGCTGGTACTGGTTTGGCGATATGTATGATGATGCTTAAGCTGTTAAAACTATGTTGAAAGGTATTGATAGGCACGCGAACTTAATATGTAATCCAGAAGGTTAAGGTTATTAAAGAAAAATTCTTAGTTTTTACTATGATGCTATTCATACTTGGCTTGAACAACACAGATGTGGTGTGCAATGAATTTTCGACATTGAATAAACAAGATGCCAAATACGTACTTAGGGCCGATTTAGGTAGTTTAAGGCTGTCATGCCTTTTAATTGGGTCGGAGTTTGAAACCCGTAATTTGTGACTGCAGAAATCAGTGCATCTTACTTAATCACATCATAGTTAATATTAAATACACGCATGCATGTAAATATTTCGTATGATCTCCAAGTTCACCACATTTGATGACACTTGAGTATTTCACAGAATTTTACGGGTTCTGACCTATTTAGTTAACAACAAAATTCACTGAATCTTTATACCTAGATATTGGGTAGTAAGGAATAACTGATCGCAGGTTTAAATTGAATTTCACCCCGCTCCCTATGTAATCAAGTGGGCAAGTGGTTTTTGCGCGAAAATATTCTGCGATCATACATTCCATAATAACCAATATGTTGTGATCGGAATGAGGAGAATTAAATGAATTTATACACTGTAATAAACACGTAACCGTCACTGGGTTAAATGTCAAATAGTTATGGCT